CGGCATCATCGGTTAAACATCACACAAAAATACGGATTTTTTTTCCCTTTTCTGGCCAGGTCATAGATGGAAAAGTGTTTTTATAAAAAAGGCGAAAAACGGAGAATATGCTACATTGCGTTTTTCTAGCGTTTGTTTTTGTCGTTGCCACCCCGGAGATCACCGGGTTACAATGCAAAGGTAGTTGAGGGGGGTAGGGGTGGGGGCAAGGAGAACTAGTCTGTGAGGGATAATCGCCAAAATCACTCATGAAATAAAAATAATAATAATAATAATAAAAAGGAATGAGTGAATGCATTTCCTGTACTAGCACAGCATCGTCTCGAGAATTGGAGTTCTAATTTCAGAACAATAAAATAAACAATCAATACAAAGTGAAGATTGCGTGACAGTAGGTTGCCAGAGGTCAGGATTCCCGGAAAAACATCCATCTCCAGTGGAAAGCCAGTTTCATGATTTAAAGGATAAACAACAAAATTATAAAAGACCAATACGGGTAAGGCATATTTTCAGTGTACAATAGATACGTAGGAAGTCTATGGCTTTGGTCCTCTTTTTAAAGCGAGTCTTCAAATTGTTATGCACCTATCAATGTAAACCCCGTGGGGGGGGAGTGCGGGCAAGGGGTGGGGATTTGACAAATTTTAAAATTTTTCGATCAAATTCCCCAGGGTGGGAAACGAAAGGTCAATCAAAAGTGTCAAAATATGCTTTTACTGGAGCCTTCCACCCCTACACAGCATGATTCGATACCATCCAATCAAAATCACTTCCGGTCATTGGGTTGTCAGCTTCACGTGTCAAAAAGCTCGCCTAAAATAAATCTCACCTTATATATTACAGTCTGGCCGAGCTCCAGTGCTTGTGTTGCTACGATTTCGCTTTTTTCTGAAACCTCCAATAAGGAGATTTCGAATACTTGTAATGGAAAACCTGCCGTTTTTGAGGAATTATAACATGTTTTGGGAATTGTGCTAGTGTAAGATCGCCAACGCTCTGTTTGTAAATAAACGTGTGCCGGAAAATTGAAAATTGCTTTTGTTTACAAAGTTACAACAGGCGCTCATTAGTAAACCGGTTCCTGAGAGTCTGGCAGCTAAAAAGCTGAAAAAGCTGATGTAGATCAGGCCGAGAATCGTCCGAGGGAAAATCTATTTTGTTATCCCTCGTATTCTCGGGTGGCTGAAAGGAGCTGCAAGAATAAATAGGAAGGTGCGATGGTGAAAGACCTATGCTTAGAAAATTATCAAGCAGCAGCAATTTCGGGTGTTACGAAAACTAAGACCTTCGAAAACTAAGACCTAAGACCTAAGACCCGTCTTAGTTTTCGAGATTACGAAAACTAAGACCCCCTAAAATCGAATCCGTCGAAATTAAGTCAAATTGTAACCGAAATAGGTCTGATCTGCCAAATTATATCATGTTCGATCCTTTCCACCGAGTTTTAGGTCAAATTTAACGGTAAATTTAGGGGTCTTAGTTTTCGTAATTACGAAAACTAAGATCCCCACCAAAACAATCTCTAAAATTTCTACAAAGTCGAATTACCCCGAATTACCACCGTTTGAAGACTATAATCCGTAAGACAAACAAAAACTACTAACATCCGCGTGCTAGACGATCCGCTTCTTCTGACAATTTGCTGACATACATTATAAAGTATACATTATCAATATTGCGGCTTTAAGAAGAGGATGTAAGCTGTACCTACGTATAGTTGTACACTGAAAATATGCCTTACCCCTATAATTTTGGTTGTTTATCCTTAAAGTCATAAAATTGGTTTTTCACTGGAGATGGATTTTTGTCTTCGTTGCGGGCTGACATGTCGCTGCGACCTGAATGCC